TACATCTATCTTTTTATATAATTTATCATTTTATACAATTATATCTTATAATTTATAGGGCATCTTCTAGTCCAACACTTTCACATCTATCCAATCTAATTTATTTCTTCATTGGTTTCCATTTAACAAATTGATTTTGTATTTGTCTGTCCATCGTGGCGTATGATAAACGTCACATTAAGTATACGACCCGCAGACCACCCACATGGTTTAATGCCATATTGTCTAATCGGTTGTTGCAGCTCTGTTGATTGGGTCGCCACACGACCATCAACTGCATCATCGCCTTTCCACCCCCTTCGCAATTTCTGCTTTCAGCCCCCATTCCACACCCCATCCGATATATACAAATGAACAACATTGGCAACGAACTTTTCTTCACAGAGAACACGTTTGGTGGAGATGCAGTACGAAGTCTAGGTCTTTTATTTCCTAAAAGGGTATCATGAGTTTGTGAGTAAATATGTAACGTGATTATGTGCACATTCGAAGCAAACTGAATTTATTTATACAATTTATGTATAGTATATCAGCTTATTAGACTTTGCACTCTTGAAAACAATTTTTGTTTGTTAGGGTATTACGAATCTTATGTGAGGCAATGCAGCTGCAATTGCTGCTGGCCTAAGGCCAATAGTTCTCGCAGCATTTGCTTATCAGCTGACTCTCTCCCGATCCTCTCTGTTGCTGCGGAAGAGGGCCATAAATTATGGCGTGTGGTCAGTGATATGATATGTGTTGTGAAATTTGAATCGCGCAGAATGTTTGATTTGCTACACACATACATACATACATATGTGCATGCTTATCAGACGCAACTTACGTTGCGAGCAAAACCGAATCGGTTTAATGAATTCGTCGCAAGGGGTATGATTGCTGAATGCTGAATTTAACGACCACAAGCCAGAATTAAGGCGATCAAATTACCTAAAAGCTAAACATATTTCTAATTTGATTAGGTGTGAAAAAACATATAGAACAAAACAAATTGCCACGATAAGCGCTCATGGCGCGCCATGTGCCAAAGTTTTCGATAATTGCGATGTCATCGAGCACTTGATTTATTCACGACAGGCACACACACTTCTTTAGAAACTGATTTATGGCCCGATTGACAGACCCAGCGTGAGGCTTGAACAGGTAAAGCGTATGAAATATTTGGCATCTAAATGAAGGGATAATTAAGCCTTTCCAAGCAAATTTTTTTGCGTTGTCATCGGCGTTTTGATTAATTGCTGACCTCTGGATCCAAATCAATCAATAAATTATAATGTGCCCATTGACAGTTCAAGTATTTCACAATTGACAAAATACTGAGAAAGTTGAAATTGTATTTCTTTTTTCCTTTGGCTGCATGCTTAATTAATTAATTGGCGTATGCAAACACACTATCACAAACACGAACACAAACACAAACAAACGTGTAAATATTAACACAAGACTCGTCGGTATACAGCTGCTCAAATATATATTCGTTTTTATTTTATTTCGAATATGTACAAAACGGCTGGTCTAAAATAAACTGGTTTGCAGCGTCTATGCATGCAAATATATGTGTGTATATCTGTTTGCATCGTTGAGTGTAAACGAGAGCAAACAACACTTAAGTGCTGCATGCCAATTGCAGTGCCTACAATATGCAATGGAAATATCAATTTTTATTAATATTCTATTAAAATAATTTAGAGGCATTTAAAAAGCGGTTACGTAAATTAAATGCATATCTTGAAGCTGGCTGCTATGAAACATTAGCAAATGGTCGTGTGCGCAGTTTTGAGCAAGCTTTAGGAGACGGCAATTATTGGTATATGTTGTTAGCACTATACTGTAATTGCATATATGTTGTTACCATTTGACTCAATAAACGTTCGTGGATAACTTAAAGAAATATATGTATATCGGTTTATCTGAAGATCTTATAAGCCACCATGAAAAGACTTAGTAGGTTTTGCAAAGAGAAACTACGTTATTTTTAATGTTAGCTTACATTTCTGTTTGTTAACAGCGCTGTTAAGTTGTTGAACGTAACGTTTACATTTGAGTAACATGAAGTTAGCTGCAACAAACAACATGCTAATCATGTTAATTTGACTACATTTGCAGAACAGATATTGAAATAATAGAAAAATTGGTATTGTCAAATAAAAAGGAGGAAACAAATTAATACATCTCCAAGGCAATATCTGTTGTGTGTGCACAAATATGGTTTTCTATTTCAAGAGCAACGTCGTACAGCCAGCAGCAATGTTGTACATGGGTCGCGACAAACACGAAAATGAGGAGCTCATCCGTTGGGGCTGGCCAGAAGATGTTTGGTTCCATGTGCACAATTTGTCATCGGCGCACGTTTATTTGCGTTTGAATAAGGGACAGACCATCGATGATATACCCACCGATGTCTTGGTAGATGCGGCACAGCTGTGCAAAGCAAACAGCATTCAGGGCAACAAGGTAAACAATTTAGAGGTCGTCTATACCATGTGGGAGAATCTTAAAAAGACGCCCGACATGGAGCCTGGTCAGGTGGCCTATCATGATGAAAAGGCGGTGCGTAAGATACGGCTGGAAAAGCGCATCAACGAAATCGTCAACCGTCTGAATAGGACCAAAACCGAAGTGGAGAATCCGGATTTCCGTGGGCAGCGCGAGGCGCGAGATGCTGCCGAGCGTCAGGATCAGAAACGCTTGCAGCGCGAGAAGCGTGAAAAGGAAAAGGAAGCGGCCAAGCAGCGTGAGCTGGAGGCTGAGCTGCGCAGCTATGCCTCGCTCCAGAAGGCAGAGAACATGCGCACCAACTATGATGCCGGCAACGAATCTGATGACTTTATGTAGTAGTTACTTTGCCACTTTAGATACTTAACACAAAATATATATAATTGTATGCATATATACATACTTGTATGTATATAAATTTTTTTTTTTTTTTTTGTAAAGCAAGTGTAAAACACGAAGCAAAGCAATAGTAATAAAAACTCTGTTAACCAATCTTGAATGTGGAGCCAAGTTCCTGCTCTTCAACTGTGGAGCAGTTCTGTTAGCATGTGTGAACGCACTTGGTCTGGCAGCACTGATAACGACAAAATGCGCGTCATTTGAATGGGAATACTGCAAATGCAATAATTATGCAAATTTGATCATACATACATATGTATAAAAATGAAATAATGTGCGAATTTTTCGAAGTTTTTTTCTTTGTAGCTTTAGTCTATAATTTTGATTTCATTAGTTTTTTAAACAATTGCTCTTAAAAATATGCATCTACCCATCCGCTTTGCTAGACCTAATTGTACCTCAAACCCATTGACATAGGAAATTTGGGTATTTTTCTGAAAATGTACATAAGTTATAGGTAGAAGGAAGTGTGGCAAACCTCGTAAGGTACTTATACATGCATATGTACTATATTCTTAAGCAGGGCTACGATTCGACACGATGTAGCCATGCACGTCTGTCCGTCCGTCCGGAAGGATATACATACATATATGCATACATACATACATATGTATGTATGTATTACAAATAATTTCCTATAATGCAGCCTCAGCGGAATCGAAGTCAAATGCGTAGTTAGCAGATCGCTTGCTTATATACATATGTATGTATGTACATACATATGTAAGTAAGTATATATGCGAGCATGTGGACGCATGCGTAGGCATGTGTGCATAACAGAAGCACAGAATGTTTGGAGTATAAGCTCTTTTCAGAATTCAGGGGATCTCTTAGTCGAGCAATCTCGACTAGAGCCCTCGTGTTTCAAATTGTCTACTTTTTTATAGTTATCAGGGCGAAATAAAAAAAGATAAAGTAGTGGCGAATGAAGAAATGTTTTCTCATTTATAAAAGCAGAATGTGACGTTGGGCGGAGTTTAGCAGCCAAAATGCAACTCGAAGCCCGGGGATTTTTGTTTTGTTTTATGTCTGCGGTTGGAGGCAGCCCTGATGCTGTCCTTGACAGCTCAATTTACGGTTTGGGTAGCTTGTCTGCTTTATGGAGCGACGGCTTGTTGCCTTTTTGAGATGTTCCGTAGTAATATTTGGGGGTACGCACGTGGCCATTGTTGTTGGTGCTGGATGCTCGATGTTATGGCTGGGCCAGCTGGCGGGTCAG